GCCTCCTTTTCTCCTGGCTGAGCCCTGAGCTCGCTCAGCCACTCCCCATCAGACTGAGCTCCAGACCCTTCCCCAGCTCTGTTCCCTTCTCTGCCCTCTCTCCATTCCCCCAGTGCCTCCCTTGCCCTTGCCAGGGCTGGGCAGAGCCCTCAAGCTGTGGCCTGAGCAGTGCCCATCTTGTGCAATGATGCCTTAATATTACACCAGAAACTTAAATACTGCTTCAATAAGCTTTACTTTGTCCCAAGATAGCACAAGGATTTCATATTTTATGTAACATTCTAGTGAAATAGTTTTATCTGGGTTTTCAAACATACAACTATGGGTTTAGGTTTACTTCAGTCCACCTGCAGGCTCAGGCTGAGATCAGAACCTCCTTGCTGCAAATACTAGTCTTTTTCATTTGCTTTGATTGTATTTGTTTTTCAGAATATCTTGGAAGTTCATCCTCATATGGGATGATTTTTACTGGTAGAGGTCTTCTAAAATCTAATTAGTTTTTCCTTTTCTTGTATTTATGAATAACGTCCTAGAAATGAATTACAAAATTAAGTAATTTTCCTGTAAAATCAACAAGCTGAGTTTATCTAGCAGCCAGTCAAAAAATAGAGACATAGGGCATTAATATTAACCAAACTAATTAACACACACAAAAAAAGAATTTCTTACTAAAATCTATTGATTTTTTTCATATTAGTATAGATGGCAGGTTTGATTTTTTTTAAAAAGAAAGGAAATAATGTAGCTAAGAATAGTTAAAAAACCTTTGAATTTCCATGTAGCTTGACACTTCAAAATTGTCCACATCTGAAAATGCCCTGTAAATAATTGATCAGCTGCATATGTTAAGTTCTTTTAAGAGATTCTCTGTGTATCAAATATGGATACTATCTTAATTTATATTGCCAAGTACAGCTGGGATTACTGAAGCTTGCAGAGTTATTAGCTCTGAAAACTGGAGGAAACTAACTGTACCTTCTGCCTCAGCTGTTCCCTCAGTACAATAAGAAAATTTGGTCTATGCAAGAAGCCTCATTTCTCCATGTTTAAAGGGTATGGAATGGCTCTATGTGTTTTTTTAAAATGAGTTGTAGACAGCAGCAGGCATTTTGCATTCTGGTAGGAAGTTTTAAGTGACCTCTGAAGGCTGCTAGGGAGGAGTTTTAAATTTAATATAGTTTGCTTCCACTCCTCTTTAAGTTGTCTGGTGCAACTTGTTGTTATGATCTTGACTATGCCTCCTGATTATCGATCAAATGGGTATCACTGGCATGTGAAATCAGATGTAATTTGGTGATTAATATATCCATAACACCTACCTTGAATCCTAGGGTTTTATTTTCTATATGAGGATAAATTAAAAATGTACTTTATCTAGAAGACAGGATTCCTCTTGATCAGTGACTTTGCTCAGTTTAGTTTGCTTTTGAAATAAAGCTCATTAGGTATAGGTTTTTATTATTCAGTTGCTCCCAGTGACTTTGAAAGCTATCCCTAAGGAATTTTTGTATTTGCTGACTGTCAGACAGTTCAAAGGGACATCTAATAGCTTAAAATTGAGCAGGATATTATTTTGAAGGAGTGAGAGCAATAAGTATGTTTATCCTGGCAGATGTGAAGCTGGAATGTGCAAAGAACTTTCCATCTTTGTGAGAGCTGAAAAAGGGACTGAGATGTCACTTAATGTGATGTGACTTTGAACTTTGCTGTTATGAGCAGCCTGTTAGCATAGCACTCCCTACTGATGCTTTTTAAATTGGAAGTGTTTTCAAGGCATTATTTTTAAGAATGGTAGTTATGGGGAAAGAGTTTCCAGCTGAATTTCTCACATGCTGTTGATTTGGAATGTGGATTTCTACATCTCATTGCAGATTAGTTAAAGGTTGAATGTGTTTGTCTAAATATGTTCATCTTCATGTTCTATTAGTTGTAGCTGTTACTGTGCCTGTTGCAGATTGTTAAAGTATGAATTTTTATTCAAAGTGTAATTTACACAGAGCAGGCTGAGAGCAGAGAACTTATGGCACAGTGCTGGCATGGGTAGAACTCTGCTGTAACTGCAGACAGGCAGGGAGAGGGATGCAGGTGAGTTTTACTGCCAAGAGCTTGCTTGGTCTATGGGATCCAAAATGCCATGGAGAAATGTGGGGTTTGGCTGGTGCTGAATCATTCCTTCAGCATATCCTGCACACAGTCAGAGAATCTGGAAAGGAGCACAGGGATGGAGAACAGTGGAGACCAGAAAAGAGAAATTTTACTTTATGTGCATTTCTATGCAGGTTAAATATATGTGAAATGGTTTTTATGCCTGACTACAGATGGTGTGTGAATGCTAGGAGTTAAAATGTGTTTATCCTATCTGTCTTTAGAGTAATGAGTTTGATATCATCTCTTCTGACACAGGACACCTTGATGTTTGAGTCCACAGATGAAAAAATGACAAGCCCCAAAAATGTCATTCTTTATATATACAGGCACAAATGTAACTTTGTTCCTAACTCTCTGACAGTCTCATTTTCCAGAGATTCAGGATCTCCTGTAAATTTCTTGCTATGTTGTGGCACTTACTTGCTATCCTTGTCTTCTCTGTCCAGCTCCTGAGCTTTATAAACTGGTCATTTGCAGTGCACCAAGCTCCTGCCACACTAGCACTGATTAGCAGTTCTGGCAATCAAGGATCGTAGAATAGCTGAGGAATACTTGGAAGGAATCTGGGAATGCATCCAGTCCTACCTCCAGCTCAGCTTGAGGAAAGCTCTGAGGTCAGACCAGGTTGTTCCAGGACAGAGATTGTGCAACCTGTTAGTTCTACTGCTTGTCTGTCCATGTGAGAAAGAGGTTTTTCCTTACATCCAACCAGAACTGCTTGCTTGCCTAGTGCCCATTTTTTTATTTCATCTAATCCACTTTAAAATGTGTTAAATCTGTGCCCTCTTTCAGTAAGAGTCTTACACTTATGGTCCTTCTGCTAAGCACCATTCAATGGAACTGTTAGCAATAAGTGCTGTATCCAAAATGTAGCTTAAATATTTTTGGAGTGGTCAGAATCTTTGATGAATAAATTCTGAACTGATCATACTAGGAACTGTTTCCCCACTGGACAATCTTAGACTGTTGAAGGACAGTTTCCACAGACAATAGTGAAAACAGAACTTGAGTTTTTTACTAGCTTTCTCAAAAGTAGTGAGCTAATAATCTCTTTTATAACTTGCATTTTTTTGTTGACAAAATATATAATCCCTTTATTTAAAAGGTCCTATCACATGTCAGCAAGTTTTTCTGGTATTGCATGTAACATTTTTTGTTGCTAATGATGTTTCTTTGGTTTAGTTTTGGCTTAAACTAATAGCACTGCATTTGTTGCATTAGTTAAAAGCGGTTCATATGAGCAAATCAAGGAAGTGTTTGCTAGGTACTGAATTACATCTCAGTTTCAGGAAATTTGTAACATTTGCTGTCTGCAGCTGGTGACCACGAAGCTGCCAGTCCTGACTTCTGGATGCTGTGTGTGTCCATGAGCACAAATGCACACAGAGGTACTTTAGGAGTGTGGGCATCCCCTGCTGCTGGGCTCCACTCTGTGTTTTGTGAACTCAGCCCTTTGGTTTCTGCTGCAGAGGGGTGGCTGTGGCCTGCAGCAGCTGCAGGCAGCGTGTCTGTGCAGAATTGGGCACATAAAGGGACTGTAGGCTGTGTGAAATTCATTTTTACACTGCTCTTCAAACAGGTCTTGTGTTGTTGATATGTGTTCTTTAACTGCTGTCTTACTGGTGAGTTTGTAATTTAGTTACTGGGTTACATTTGTCTTGTAGCTTGGAATAAGTATTCTGAAAATGGTTACCAAGAGTAGGGATACTTTCTGAGGCAAGAAATTATGCTGCTCTTCAGACATGATTAAAAGCTCTTGGCTTCGAGTAGATTGGAGCTGTTACTTCAAATAAGAATAATCTGTGTTGACTGCTTCTGTTGCTTCAGCTGCAAAATTCAGACAGTTATAATCTACTTGCCATCTCTTTCTCTCTTTTTTTTCTCTCTTTTTTCTCTCTTTTTTCTTTCTTTTTTCTCTTCTCTTTTTTCTCTCTTTTGCTCTCTTTCTCTCTCTCTCTCTCTCTCTTTCTCCCTTTCCTTTCTGTCTCTCATCTTTCTTGCTTTCTTGCTTGCTTTCTGTCTTTCACTCTCCTGTCTTTCTGTAGTAACTCCCTTATTCTGGGGGGATTCTGAGCCCCTGGCTTGTTTTAAATCACATTAGATAAAGTTGCACCATGTCTCACCCTGCACTTGTTTATCAGAGAGTGCACTGTGTGTCCAGGTGCTCTAAATCATTCTTTTTTAAAAAAGTATATTTTTTTATCCCTGGATAGATATTTCTCTCATTCAAGTTATTTCAGATTTGTGGTTTTTGTACTCCTGACATCTCCTATAAACACCTCTCTCTTAAAAAATGTATGTGTGAGATTGGAATGCAACTTCATGTTTATGTCAACTTCCTTAAATTTAAATAAGGATGAATTTATGCACAGCTCTCCCTATCACAGGCTTGATAGGCCTTTCATTAGTCTTTTTATTACATTCTTTTATGTGCTTTTAGAAGATATGTTTCAAAAATTATCACATAGTTCTGTTCTGCTGTATGAGTCTTATTTTCAGAAAAAAGTTAATAAATACAGTAATTTTCTTACATTAAAATCCTGTCATTGCTTAAACACAATTAATTTCAATGTGAGTAATTTGTCCCCAAGTACTTGATATAAACTGAACAGGCTTCAGAATTTAACTGAAGAAAATTATTTTTATCAGGAACTTTTGGTATTGATATATGAAAATATTGTTGACTTATGAAAATACCACACAAGTTTGGAATATTCCCAAGGCACGATTGGAAAATCAACAATTCCATGTTGTGATTGTGGCTGTTAAAGTGTTTCACTTTTGGGGGGAGGGTTTCTTTGCACATAGTATTTAATTTCTATTTCTTGTTAAGATAATTTGCTTTCTTTCAGAATGCAGGGACATTCTGCTTCCTGTGATTACAAAAGAGCTGAGGGAATTACTGGAACAGAAGGAAGATCAGCAGCTCCAGCTCCAGGAGAGGAAGTACTGTGTTGAATTACTTAACAGCATCCTGGAGGTGCTGAGCTGTCAGGAACCTGTGAGTATTGATGATGATGTAGAGAGCCCAAGTCTGTAGAAAGCCAGAGCTGATTAGGAAGTAAATTATTGATGATGATTAATCTCTGTCAAGTATTTAGTACAAGTCAGTGGCAAATTGAACTTTTCTCCTATTTTTCATAAACCAAAGGGCAGCTGAGGTATTAAAGATGAATAGTGACTTCTGAGTAACCTGATCCAGTTGATGATGGAGATTTCACGGACTACATGACCTTGCAAGGTCCCTTCCAACCACAACTTCCTATTGGTTATTCTGTAATTATTTTAATTATACAGAATAAACTCATAAAAACCTCTGCAGTGTCTGAAACAAATGCTTGTCACTGTGAAAATGTTGTAGAGTATGGTTTCTGCTTTCAGCAGAAAGTCTTTTCAGTCTGGCTAAAACAGATTACTCTTTACTGTATTTCACTTGGAGACTGTAGTTTCTTTATCAGATTTCTGAAATTTTGGAACACTGAAATTTTCATCTGAGTGGTTCTTTTTTTCCTCATTTGAGAGAATGTTGAATTGATTTTTTAGGCCCTCACTTTTTAATGAGCAGTAGGTTATTCAATGAAGCTTCTCAATTATTTGAGGAATTTATTCTGAGAAAACATCATAGTTAATTACATTAAGAAACTGTAATTTCCTTAATCTGTGAATATGTGCTGATTTTTCCTCAATTGTAATTTTCTGATACACGTGTTCAAGCTTTGCAGACTTTGGATTAAGACAAGTTGTCATTTTAGGGGTTTTTCACTGTGGCTCCTAGGATCATTTCCTAGTAAATGAAATCATTACAGCATATATCTTGATTTTATAAAAATCTTTGATACCACTGAGGCTTTTCAGTTTGCACAGGGCCATCTTTCCATGTGTATTAGGAGCTATTTGCCTCATTGGTTTAGACTTAAGCAGTTTAGGAGGGGTTGATCCAAGGGGATACAGAAGAAATATTGGAAATTCTGAGTTTGAAATGTAATTCTTGAGAAAAATGGTGAAAGCGTGATAGGGCAAAAATTGAAGTTATCATCTCATAAGGCTCTAATGCAAAGTAACCAGTTTTGTTACTGTATCCTTTAAAAGGTAAAACACAACTGTAAAGCAAGATGAGTAATACTTTCTCTGTATGTGTACTGCATAAATGAAGTTTATTTTTGAATTTAACAGTTGCTGTCCATAGCAGCAGTTGCTGACACGTTAAAAGCTCATTAAAGCCTACTGAAAATATGGGTTTGTAGCTCATCTTTGTGTGAGTGAGAACATTATGCAGAACAGCAGAAGAATTGCTGAGAATTTCAAACACATGAATTAAAAAAAAATAATTATATTTTTTCAACAGAAGTGGCAGTTCTGCAATAGTTTCTTTCAAGGAAGGTAAACTGGAGATTCTCTGTGAGATTTTTGGGTCACAGGTATTTACAGATTGTACTTGCAGTGAATACTGATGCATTTCTTATACAAGGAGAAAAGCCCCTTGGGGTAAGTTTAAACCCAGCAGTGATATCAGAACATGCTGAGCTTTCTAGAAGCATCAAATTCCTAAGAAATATCATAGAATAGTTGGGATATCAACAAAAGAACCAGATGTTTCTGTTGCAGAAAGTCCACACCCTGGCCTGCCTCTGGCAATGCAGCTGCTGGTAGGACAGAATATGGATTTTAGGATATATAAAACTGTAACACTGGGCTTTGTAACCACAACAGCAAATGTGTGGCCATCACTCATAGCTTTTTCCTTCCTTGACAGAGGAATCCATGGATTATTATCTCATTTTTTTAATCAAACACTGATCCTGCTTCAGTACTGAAAATCTTCTACTGAGGTGATTTATCTGACAGAGGAAAAAGGAGCAAAGGAAGGCGACACAGCAGCATCCAAGGATCACACGTTGATCTGTCTTTAAGAGCCACTACAGATTTCTCTGGAGTGTAACACACATGTTTATTTTCCAGCCTAAGTGAGAAATCTTGTTTCAAGGCTGTATTTGCTTGCAGCAGTAAATACTTTGTTACCTGGAGGCAAATGCAAGGGTTCACATATGGCTGAGTTATTGTTCAGGCAGTGTCCTTCAGGATGCCTTTATTCAGAGTGATCCAGATACAGACAATTGGTTTGGTAATTAACCAAATTATTTCAGCTGGGACTACACTTGAACCCTAAAATGAATAGAGTTTTCTATTCAACAATTAATTCCCTGCATTTCTTAACATCTTTCTAAGAAAATGGAGAGTTTGACCTGCTGGAGGATAAAGTTTTAGCCTTTAGCAGCAGAATCACGTTACAAAATTAACAACACCCACATCTTTTCCCTATTTCTTCTGTTTTTTTCCATCTCAGTAGAGAAACCTGGTTTCAGACTAGTATTCAAAACTTTTTGGAAACTTAACTTTGATATTTTTGCATTGTGTTTATTTTGTGAAAGTCACCAGAAATAGAACACACACAAAGGACAGGGAAGAAAAAACAGCAGTAGTTGTTCTGTTTCATGTGGTGAAAATTTATACTGTGAAGTGATCTTTGAAGTTGTTAAAGAATTTTTGAAGAATGCATTTTCTTTGTCAAAGGCAAGGATATTTTCATATTACCTGCTCTGCTCTGCTGTTTTGCCTCACATTTTTTAGGGAGTGGGAACATGGGAATCATCAGATCCTTGTGTTCAAATGCTGTTTTCTTCAGCTGCTGCCTCACTGCTGGGTTCTGCAGGTAGCCAGCATGTTGTTGAAAATCTCTGTTTTGTGTAGTGTTTGTGAGTTTATTTTTATGACAAGACAGTCACTGTTGGGTGTCTCAGTGAGATGTTAAGGTTTGATTTTAAGATTCCTCTCCAGCAAACAATTTTTGGACATAAATGGCATGTTTTGACTTAATCATGTCTGAAATTAGCTTTGTAGCTTCAGATTGTGCTTCAAGCACCTGTGAAATACAGTTAAATCTCATAACTGCAAGACATTGATGAAGGTCATGATTAAATCAGTGATTTTTTGTTTATGTTTTAATTAAAACCACTTCCCTTTTTCCTCTTTACAACACTGTTTCATGCAGTCTGGCAGTTCTTCATGAGGAGGCTTTGCCTCTAATCTGACATATATGCTATGTTTTAAGATTTACTGAATCAGAACAATTTTTTATTTATAGTGCTTAAAAAATTAAATAAAATGGTAAATGCTTTCTCTTGGAATCTACAGAGAAATCTTGGTTAAGACTGTAAGTGCCAGAGAGATGAAGAATCTTTTCTTCTTCTGTGCATTGTCAATAATTGGCAGCAGTTGAGTTTTAAGCTGTTTAGCAAACACTAGCAAACAAGCCTGGAGGTATTTTAGAATTGTAAAGAATTTTTTTAAGCATTTCCTTAACTTATGGCAGATCTTAACGCTTTAGCAAAAGAGAATTTCAAAGGGATGTAGTCAGGAATTCTGCATGTTCTTTCAAGGCCAATTACCTTAAGGTATTCTGCAGAGACTTTTCAGCCAGAACAATGCAGGATTATGAGTTATGGTTTAAAAAAGATATTGTTATCCTTTTATATGTGCCTTTATTTGTATGTGTGTCAAAGAGGGGATACAGGTTACAGAACTGGGCGCACCAGAGAGTGAGCACACAGGATCTGGTTGGTTCAGAGCTCATTTCCTCTGTGGCTGCCCACACAGTGCCATGGTTTGGATTTGTGACCAGAGCAGTGTTGATAATGCAGCAATGAAATTTTAGCTCTTGCTGAATTGTGTTTGCACAGTGCCAAGGCCTCCTGTGCTTCTCACTGAGCCCATGCCAGGGAGGAGGGGAGAGCAGGGTGAGAGCTGGGGAGGAGACAGAGCAGGGACAGCTGAAATGAATTGACAGAAGTGTTTCCAAGTGGGTATCTCAAGTACAGGCTGGGTAATGTTGTAATTCCCAAGCAGCCATTCAGTGAGTCCCTGTTTGCCACTGTCCAAATAAATGAACACTCCATCAGAATCTAAAGTGCAGGGTTAGACTCTGAAACAACAGAATTGCTTTTTCTGTCCCAATTCTGTAGCAATTTAAATAGAAAATGAAACCTAACTCAAACAGCCTCTGCTTTTACTCTGCACAGGTATTTTTGAAAGAGAGTGAAATTTTGTCTGGCTTGGATTTTCTATTAGCTAATTTGTGTACCCATCTGTGCCATCCAGCCTGACAAGGAACCCGAAGGTGTTTGAGTTCTGTGAGAGCACTCCCCTGCTGACCTGCCTGCAGAGCATGAACCCTGGTTGTTCCATGCCTTGGCAAATCTTTCCAACAGGGAAGACAAACATTTTTGATCACCATATTTAATTAAATGGAATAATACAATTAAATTTTTTCCAAGAGAACATTTGTACATGATACAAGTAGTTAATTTAAAATCTTATGCTTAATCAATGGATTGAGGCCAAATGATGGTGGGTTTTCCCATGTCATCCTTGTGAAGAGAAAAATGATCTGCAAAAGCACATGTTGCAGTTGGTTATTAGACTATCTTCTGAAGCTAGAAGCTGTAAGATAAAAGCTGAAATCTTGTGTATTGATAATGTGTGAAAACAATTTTTGTTAATTTAGCAATGTTGTTATTGAATGCTTAATCGTTTCTTTGATTATCAAGAAGAAATGGAGTCTTAGTTTCATAGAGAAACCATTTTATTTCATTTGCTAAGATTTCTCTGAAAATTCAAAGGTCTGGTAGAAAATAACCTTTGTGTGCCTGAGCATATGTAATAGTCTTTCCAGGAGAGGTTTGTTATGTGCTACTCGTGAATTAAGAATAGAGCTCATCTTTAATGATGGAGTCAGGGCTAAATGTTAAAACTCATTATGCAATGTTCTGAACTGTTGCTAATTATGGTATAGCACATACTGATATCTGGAAGTGAACTTACATTATATGAGCCCTCATCTTTGAATTAAAAAAAAGGGAAACTAATGAACAAATTATATCCCTGTGCTAAGTGGTACTAGATAGTTTATCAGTTTTGGCTATTGATAATATTTTTTTAAATTATAGTGATAAACAATGTTATAAAAACAACAAATGTGTCTTCTGTGCAGCCACTCTCAAGTGTAGTCATGTTATAAACATAGGACTGAACCAGAGAAAGTGAAATTTTAAAGAAGGAAACACCAAACACAAATTATTCTGTGACTATGTTTTTCATTTATAGAATATAACAATTTCTGAAATGCTGTGACAGGTGAGGAGATCCCTTCAGCTTGTGTGTCATTGTCAAGGGACACAGGAGGACTAAATGGTAACAGTAAATAAATTGCCAGATGTGAGGAAGGTCCCTGTTTTGAGGTGTGTGGTTCTATCTGGCAATCAGAACAGGAGAAGAAAAAAGAAGACATTGGCTGACTCAGAGGAAAAACAGAACCTGGGGCAGTTTCTCAGCTACCTAAAACATTAAGAATTCTACATGGCTTCTGTGATTGTGTTCTTTCCATGCTATATCTGACATTAAGTAAAGGTCTTGGAGTAAGCTAAATATCCTTTTCTACTGGAAATTTGTTTAGACTTTTTCTTTCTTGTTGCATGCTGCTTTCCCAAGCTGTCGAGTGATCAGAGTAAGGTCAGTGAAAGTGGTGAACAGGAGGTCATGCCTATTTGCTCAGGGTTTTAAAATAAATAACCAGATACTGTCCTACAGGCAACAAGAGCAGTACTTGGGCCAACCATGTCCAGTTTGTGCCTTCCCAGAACAGCTTGGGTACAGAGAACAACTTTCTCCTTTAATAACTCTGTATTTGTGACTGCCAGCTAAGAATATTCCTGTGCCCCAGCCTGCCCTGAGAGCACTGACAGATACGGGGAGCTGGGAGAGAATTTGCCTCAAGTTAACTGTGCCAGGGTTAAGCTACAGACTGCACAGTTAGAGGGAGAGCAGGAGTCCTTTGAGTGAGAGATGGGAAGTGACTGTTTGAAACAAAAACCAGTTGTGGAGTAGAGTGGGCTGAAATTGGATTGAAATTGGACACGAGTATTCCACTGAAATTGCTGGAACTAAGGAGCAGTGTGAGCAAGAAGAATTAGTGTTGCTCTTTCAATAGGGCTGTTATATTGTACAACTTGAACTGTCAAAATGGAAATAATTGGTTTCTTCTTACTTTTCAAAGAGATATGATTTTAATATCAAAACTCTGGTTTTTTTCACTTGCAGGCTTCAACTTTTCACCATATTCAAGAAATAATGGTGCAGTTACTACGCACAGTGAACAGAACTGTTATTACAATGGGACGAGATCCATTAATTGTGAGTAATATTTTAATGCATTTTCAATGCTTTGAAACTCATTTTATAGTTATCCTGGAAAAAATGGAAATATAGCATTTGTGGCATCCTTGTGAATTATTTGCTTTTAATTAAAAAAGTCTCAAGCTTTGCTTTTTTTTTCATTCAGCTGTGACACTGTAGTCACAGTATTTTGAAATATAGTCATAAGATTTGAACATTCTTTAAGAGAACAAATGATAAATAGAAAGTTAATTGATATTTTCAAAAAAAGAAGAAAGTTTTGCAAACCTGCATAAAATACATGGTTTAAGGCACTGAAAAGAGTATTTCTACTAATCTATAGTGAAATTGTATGAGTAAAACTAAAAAAAAAATATCTGGGCATATGCTGGCACTAAGCACTCACCTGAGATTTTATTTTGTGGAGGTTCTATGATTTAAGGTTCTGTTTGAGTTATATTGAAATTTTGCAATCTATTCAGATTTAAGTACACATCACCTGAGCGCTCCTCTGGATTTAGACTATGTGGGAATGCAAGGAATTCACTGGGAATTCAGAGCTTGCCCTTCAGACTGTTCACTTATGGGAAGATGCTTTTTAATGGTTTGTCTTTGGAGATTTATTTTATTCTACAAAATCATAGCATCATTTACTTGATGGTTTTGGCCACAAGAGGTACATTGTGTGCCTTTAAAAACATCCAGTGTTTCCCTGTTTATTTCTATTGGAAAATAACAGTTTTAGATCATTGCCAGCCAGAGCATGTGTGCCTCCTAATGATTAGGCTCCTAATAATTGAGGAGACTAATTGAGTTCCTCAGAGGAAATATTTGCCAGTGGTTGCTTTGGACTCCCTGGTGGTACATCTGCAAGTTTGAGGCATCTCTGTAGCTGCGGTTCTGAACTCCAGGCTGTCGCTGCTCTTGTGGAACCCTCGGGCACATCCATGGTCACAACAGGGAATGGTTTGGAATGAAGATCAGTGACCCTTTCAGTTCTCTGGAGTGCTGGAAAGTGTTTTCTGTACAAAGAAAGTGTGATAGGAGTGTTGTGCATGACCTAAGCAGTCTGTTAAGAACTATTTCTGGATACCATAAACAGCACATGAAAAGGCAAAACGAAGCTGTTTTAATCCTGCATAAAAGATCCATTAGGAAACCAGTAGGAAACAAGCTTGTTACAGTAAATTGAAATGGCTTAGAAAATCTGTTTCTTTTTTCTTCCCCCTCCCATCTACTGTAATTTCTTCAGCTGTTTTAGCCTGAAAAGAGCAAATTCACTGTGAATTTTGAAATGCACTTCACTTGCTTCTAATTATGGTCATGAGAACCTCTACATATTTGTTTATTGGGCATTTTAGAGGTGTTCCAAAGCAGAATTCCAATAAATTGCTATGTTTTCTACAGCTGAAGCAATGCTTCTTAACAGAGTAGCCTTTTATAAGCAAATAAATTGTTTTTAATGAACAAAAGAATTTTTTATTCAGAAAGAACTGGCAAAAGAAGCTTTTTCCATGCTCTGTGTTCTACTTTAGTTCACCAAGTTAATTTTCAGGTTTGTTTTAACCCTTTTGAGAGGGTCAAACTTGCTGTGAAAGCCCAAATGCTTGATCTTTTCAAAATGAAGCCGACAGTCAAGAATTATGTCCAGGACAATGCTTAGATGAGCTCAAATTGCTGAAAATGTGGTGAATTCTGCAAGTACAGGTGGGACACGTGGAATTTCTGCAGCTGGTCTCTGTAGCTGAAGTTATACAGATATAAGTGACATTTCAAATCTATCACTTCCAGGAGGACAGAAGGTTGCTCTTTAGATTTTTAAGTCTGTTACTTAATTTTTTTTAGATTTTTAAGTCTGTGTTTGTGAGTGTTGCAAGTATTTTTATGAACTTCTGCAGTGTAATTTACTATAACTTGAAAATGCTATAGAAAGTAATGCTAACACTGATTTATGCTGATAAGAACAATGGTTACAATTTACAAAACCTATAATTGCTTGCAAGTTGAAATTGCCCTGCACCTGACAGATAACTGGATTTGATTTACCTGAGAGGTTTTTTATGCTTTCTGACAGGGTTAAGCAGGTTAATTTTCATATTCAGGTGTTCTTTTCACAATCTTCTAGCTTGTTGGCAGAAATCTGGCTTTACAGTTGCCTGGATCCTTTCGTGCTGTGATGCCAGTTGAAGGGAAAAAGGGAAAGGGAGGGTTCTGCCTTGGGCTTAGCTGGTAAGTGCCTGCTGGGAGCTGTGTTCATGTAATTACTGAGAAGAGTCAGGCTCAGAAAGAAATAATCTCCCCAGGAGAAGGAGGTGGTGGAAAGGTAATTTGGCTCTCTGCTGCTACTTCAGGGAAGACTTAGTTAAATGCCATTCTTGCCTTCACTGTGGTGTTTCAGCAGCTGAAGGCTTTAACAGCTGCTTGGTAGTTTTTGCTCTTAAAAGCCCACAAAATCTTCACTGTTTGTAGTTGTAGAAGGGCTTCTACACTTTCATGAAGAGGCTCAAGTTTATTGTCTGAAACTGGCTACTCAAGCCTTACCTTGAATACCTCATGAGATTTAGACTTTTAGTTAAAGGTTATTGTCATGTAGTGAAGTCCTCCTACAGGAATTACAGAAGTCAAATTCATAAACCATGTAGAACACAAAAATGCTTGTTTTCAGTCTTGGCTTGATTAGGCAAATAAAAATATAATAAATCCACTATATGCACCTAAAAGGTTTCCTTTAGTACTTTCAAACTTGATTTTGATCACAATATCTGTTTAACATGATGAAATAAATGTGTAGCTATGCTACACAGAAATGTTTTTAGGCAGTAATTATATCAAATATTGTACAAATAAAACTTTGCCAAAAAGAAATCTGTGAGCTCTACTTAGCAAAGCCACACTAGAGCAGACAACAACCACAGAAAGTGTTTGCAGAGCTGCAGTGGTTGGAGAATTTGATGTGTTCAAATACACTCATGGTCTAGCTAAAAGCTGCAGCTCTTCTGTTTGGTATTCAAATTGACATCCTTGCTCTACCTGGAAATGCTGCAAGAATGGTTCCATGACATGCCTGTTAGCTTTCCATTTATTTTTTCTTTTCCCAAAGAACAGTATTTCCCTTCCTTCATAATATAAACATTGTTTATTATTAATTCACTCCTGAAACCTAATAAAAATATCTCGTTTTATTACAAAAGATAACATCACATTTAAAGGGCCTAGAAATATACAAAACATACATTAGAGATTGAGTGCCATTAGGAAGATGTTGTGTGTCTGTGCTGGCAGGATTATTATAGTGCACAGAACCATCAGAAGCCCTACATGAACTGCTGTAACAGGAGACAAATCAGTATTTTATTCATACATTTTTAATTTTTAAAGAAAGTCAGTTTGACTCCATAAAACAACAGTTTCAAATACAGTAATTTTGGAGTAAACTGCATTCTGTGCAGTGTTTTATATATAGCATATATCATTTAAATATGTATTTCTCAGAAGCCCACAGTATTTTCATAATCAAGTGCTGGCAGGTAGCTGTGATTTGGGTTTTTTGGTAGGGTTTTATGACAACTTGTGGGGAGTTGTTGGTTATTTTTCAATTTTATTTAAAAATGTGTTTGTATTTCTAACATATATTTCCTGCTCTGGGAGCTAGTTTTAGTGATTATGCTGTAATTTTGTAAACCAGAGAAGTTTTTCGTAGCCAATACTTTTATCTTCCAACAGTCTACAAATTTCTACTGCTCTTCCAATCTTCACACTATAAATTGTGTGGTGTGTATGTGGCACTTTTTTATTTCCTATAGGAATTAATAATTAATTACTAAAAAAAAAACCCAATATCATATTTCCCATAAACCCTTTCATATCGTATTTTCATATAGCCAAGATTCTCCAATTATGTGTCACAAAGCTTTAAATTTTAATTATTTTATATTGCTAAGATATGCACATTTTAAAATCTAAACAAAACAGCAGCTAAACAGCAATTCCCTTTTCCTGCTCTTGATGTATCCACGACTGACACCTCCCCACCAACACCTTTCAGTGGGACAAGTCTTTTTTTCCGAAGTTGTCTCAAGTTTGATGCAGAAAACCTTTTTAGTGTCAAGCACTGTGGGAATGACTGGGGGTAAAATCTCCTTGCAGTAGAAAGGAAAATGCTTTCACAGCATTGGAATTCCATATTTCCTGTCCTTGAAGGGGGTGAGTTTGAAGACTCTGGGCAGAGGGAAAGCAGGGACAGAAGTGGCTGTTCCTGCTTGGCTGAGGCTTGGCTGGCCCAGAGCCTCCTGCCCTTCCCCACTGCTCCGTGGGCAAAGGCACAAACACAATTTCATATCCAGACTTTACTGACTGAGAGCAAAATCAAAATCCACCAAGTCAGGAATCTGGAAAACAGCAGCTAATTGGGACTGGGAGATTAAGGATTAAAAATTGGCTATGGTTCTGAATCCCATCAAGCTCAGGCATTAAAATATGAAACCTGTAAGCACTTAAATCAGTGTATTTCAGATTTTTATGAGTATTGATGTTTCTTCAGGTCATAAGACTTAGAGCCTTACTTATAACTACCTTTGGTTGAACTTTCTTAAACTGAAAGGAGTTTTCATAGTTCTCCTGACACAGGAATTGATTGGTGTTATGTGGTGAACCAAAGTGCTGTGGTTTGTTTAAATTATCTTTGAAAATAAATTGAAGGCATCATATGCATAATGTGAGCAAACCCAAAATCAGATAGCTTAAAATGAGCACTTTTTGTGCTTGTCAACAAAAAGAAAGGCAAAAAAGTTACTTTTGTATCATAACTTAATAAAAAGTCAATACAGAAAAAACCCTTGCTTTTGTTACTAGTGTTAAAGCTCTTGGTGTTGCTCATTATTATACTTTACCACAGAGGATATTGGTCTTAATATGTTATTTTAATACACAAGAATTACTTCTACACTAGTAAATCCTTCACTGCATCAATTGTAGAGACTGATGCCAAAAAGGAATCAATGGTGTTGGCACAGCAGCACAAGCAGTGCATGTACTTGAGTGTAACATAGTGATGTGTTCTGATGGAGTCATTTAATTCCTACCTTTTTTATAACCACAACCTATTATTGAAGAGCTTTTCTGTCTCACTAGAGGAATCTAAAGATATGTTAGTAAAAAGTAAATTTCCTTCTAAAAAGCCTCTAAAATAACAACAGTTTTGTTCCTGTCATTTCTGTACTAACTGAAATTAACATAGAAATGTTTTTTAAGTGTCAGTCCTTTAGAATTTTGATAAATTAAGCCATGGAATATTGCATACTTTCTTCTAAAAGATTCATTTTATAAAGAAGTTAGTTCCTCCAGACAAAATTCTTCTGTGCAAAATTATTTTTAATGTATTTTCAAATGTGCAATTAACCCTAAGAATTCAAGGAACACAGAAATGTACAAAAAGTGTACAGACATTTAAAACTAACATTGCACAATTAACACAGGATGACTTAGAAAAATAAGATGCAGGGTTTAATCTATAGAATACCCTGAACCAGGGCCACTTCTAAGAAAAGGTCTGTAGTACATTCCACTCAACTTGCTTTGGAAAACCTTTTCCCCCCTGCCCCCCATATGAAAGGTGATCATGTTTTCATGAATAAAATAATAGGATCACCAATCATAAATTGGCCTCCATTGGCACACCCAGTGGTGCTAATGGTAACTTGAGTATTTTTGGAGGAAAGAAGTAGCTGCATTGATATTTGATAAAATCTTTTCAGCATATATAATTATTTTTTTTTGTGTGTAATACAGATCAGTTCACTAAATATTATTATTATGTTCAACTTTTCATCATATATTAATTTACATCTTAAGGCGAAAAAAAATATTGGGGTATTTTGGTACAGCAGTACAGGTCTTAAATGGATGGACTGGGCAAATGATTCAGTAAGACAGTAGCCAAAATAGTTATTCCTCTTTATCCAGCAATTGTGTGATGACCTCTGAGGGACTGTGTCCAGTTTTAGGCTTCCAGGTGTGTGAAAGACATCAGCTGAGTGCAGGGACACCAGCAGGATGGCTGTGGCTGCAGCCTGGGATATGGGAGGCAATGAAAATTGGGTTTGTTCAGTCTTTTGGAAGATTTAGGAGAGAGGACTCATTATCCATGGATCTCTTCTGGCAGGTGTACTTGGACAGAGTCAGGTGTATGGACACAAACCAGAATGCAGGAGGTTCAGAGTAGATGTTAGGGAAAAACCCTGGAACAGCCTTTCCCAAGGAGCTGAGGATTCTTGTCTTTGGAGATACTCACAACTCAAATTCACTGAACTTGCTTGAGCAGGGGTTTAAGACAAGAGTTACTGTGACCTTCTCTTGTTTTACAACTCCCCAATTCTTTTCAGAGAAGTCCATTAAATGGCTGAAACTTCTAAATGGTGGCTTTTTATAATGAACAAAGAAAAGGATAGAGTTAAAACTTCAGCTGAAATTCTTTTGTTTGTTGTTCAATATTAGATGACAGCAACAAAATTATTTCAATGAGGATATGAAATAATTATAATTGTCTCCTGTGAGGAGAGATTTGTTTGAACAATTTAGGTTTCCCTGAATTTGTTCTTGATGATGTGGTTTGTTCAAAGCTCGATGAAGTTTTTTTTTCCTTTTAGTCCATGTTGCTTATAAATGGGAAATGAAGGCCATGTGACATGCTTAGCTTTGTCTACCATTGTTTTTTAAAGTAGAGATTTAAAACTTGTTATTTTTGGAAAGTTGAAAAAAAGGTCTTTACAAAGCATATGAAAGTGTCCTTGGAAAAAAATGAGAACTTCCTTTTGAAAGAAACAATTCCTTTTCTTGAAAATTGTATCTTCATGCACCTTTATTCAGTGAGCTGATTTAATTAAATTCAATTATTTTGATTTTTCAGGTACACTAATTAAACATTCTTAACCTTTTTGATTTCATAATAGCACATTTTCAGGTGTGTGCTCTCAGGCTCTTTCTGTTTCAGTGTCTTTTGAAATGTAAAAGGATGCATGAGGAAGTCAAATCCACCAGAAGCATTTTCTTTTCACCTTTTTTGTTTTTCTCCTTAACTCCTTTTTCTCGGGAGCTGGAGGATCAGGTGGAGGCTTCTGAGGTGAAGCTGGAGCTGGATTTTGCTCTGCATTGTCCAGTGTTTTCAAAATCTGATGAAATCTTCCTTCTTGTTGTCTGAAGTCATATTCTACACTATGGAAAAAAAATTGAGAGACCTATGCTAGTAAGTGAGAAATTCCCCCTTTAAAGAGCATGTCAAAGGCTGCTTCCCTCATCAGAATAATTTGGTGTTGTGCAGTGATACAGCCTGGGGAAAACACAGGGCATTTAGGAGTTTTTCCTTTGAAAACAAGTTCACCTCTTGTTTATTTTTTTTTTAGCAAAAAATTTTACTTCATGTGAGTTAAGAACTCCAACATTGTGCCCAAAAAGACAGGACAAAAATAAAAATATACTAGGATGCTCTTTCAATTTTATTCAAAGGTCAGATTTTGATCCCATAATCCAACATTCATATGCTTGTAATTAAAAACTCTCACATGCTTAACTTTGTTAAATGTGAGTGTCACCCACTAGGACACAGGCTAGGAACAAAAATATATGAAATTAAGCCAGCATGTAAGTCTTTGAGATACGTGGTGTTAGTTAAGAGGACAGTAGAACTCATTTCCTCAATTGAAAGCCCTAATTATTATTGATGTCAAACAAGTGCCAAGATGATAATTAGGTAACAGCAGATGAGTGCATAGAAATAAATGTGAGGTTCAAAAGAGGCAGCATGGACAGGTATAAAGCAGTATTGTATGCATTTTCCTTATTTGAATCATCTTTTCTGGGCAGGAGAGTGAGTTGTATCAGCCTTGTTGGCTATGAAGATTTTAGGGGAGAGTGGAAAGGTTGTATTTGCCATTGTGGGAGGAAAAGAGCATTATTTAAAGGGGCTGGGATGCCACTTCAAGGCTCTGAAGCTGATTTTGGCACTGATCAGAAGAAATCTGTAAAAGTTAGTAAATGTGCAAATCTTTACAAGCTTTTAATTGTATTTTTATATAAAATCTATAAACAACATTAAATACTATGCTAAAATTAACTGGAAGATCATTTCCCTTAATTCACGTGTCTTGGGATTTTTCATGAAGTAATAAAATTCAATGGGTAAAAAGGAAGCAAGAGGATTATTTTCAGTTAGAAAAGAGTAGAAGGATCTCTTGAACAAGAAGCAATGCAAAATAAATATAAAAAAAGCAGAAGAAAGTGATATAAAATCAGTGCCTCTTGCATTTTATCAGCTTATTGCTAAAACTGCAACTTAATACCTTTCAATATTCACAGAGCAAGGGCGCTGGAGAATGAAATGCTGGGTTTATAGAATACATAAGGGCAGCATCTGCTCTTGTTCCTTTTCTCCTCCCTTCTACAGAATTTTTAATTTAATGTTGGAGATATCATCTCCAGAGGCAGGAGGTCAATTCAGTCTTCATTTAATACTGTCCATGATAACTGGTTTTAGTTGTTACTTGCATTTGTTTATTACAATACAAACATTTCTATTACATGGTCTAGATGGAAAATCCCAAGCCTGGAATCCCTGCTGGGTAGTTAATAAAGCTGAATTTACAGTCACTGTTAGGCTGAAAAGCTCTTTATTACTTTAGTGATCAGTGTAATCCACACGGGGATTTCTGTGAGATTAATGCATTGTTTGACTCAGGGACTGTGTGTGATAAAGATGGTTCAGTGACAGCAACCCAGCACTTGGCATGTGCAGGATTGCATCAGGGAGGAGTGAGCTTCTTTAGGAGCAGGAAAACTGGGAGAAAGATAAAACACTTGATTTTATAATCACAACTGTGATGCTGTCTTAGGGAAAATACTTGCATGGGCATTTCAGGCACATAAAACACAGGAATTGCACGTGTTTATCTGGAGCAATCACTGATAACAATTGCTCCTTTCAGGATATTGTCTAATGAACTTCAAATATTAGTCACTCAGAATGCTTTTTTCATAACCACATCCTGTGGAACACCTCTGTAAATCAAAAACTATTGTTTCCTTACTGTTTCCTCCTTGTCTCTTAAAAGTAGAAACTTTTTAGAGCACCTGTGTTCTGTACATGTTCTATTAATCATTGCAGTGTGAGCCCCCAGGCAACATTGTTGTTGCAAACTACCTAGTAAATCAAAAAGGTCCCTGAATGTTTTCTTACTTCCTCTGTTTTTTCCTTTGAATGATTGTGCTTGTTGTCCAAGATCTATCCTGCACTGAAACCATGTAACCTTAAAAACACAGGGTATTTTTCCAAAGAGAGAAAGCATCCTGTGGTCAAGGGTAGTCTGTAAAATTCCCTATAAATTCTGGGGAGTGGCCTGTTCATGTCTAGTCCCATAAAACACACAGAGATTGTTTATTCAGAGACCATGATCAAGTAAAGGAAATCTTTTATCTTTTTTTTTTTTTTTCTATGGATCCAGTCTGTGCTCTTGGATAAGTCATGTAACTTCCCAGACTATGCAGGGGGCTGTGAAGAAGACCTACAGCTTTGTCTCAGAGGAGTTGTGGTGTTTAATTTGTGACATGTTAATTGCTTGGAAATTTCATTACCAGAGGTTTAGGACATCAGTATGGGACTGAGTTGCATGTTGAATAATGGGTGCTCTGTCTAGTTTATTAAGCTCTTTACTAAATTTGGTTCATGCAGAACCTGTGTGAGTATTTTCTATTAATTATTTCCATTTTTAAAAGTTAATGCTATAGTGATTACAAACTGTTGAAGATAATGGTCTGCCATGTTTTTTGAAACAAAGGAAAAGGTTTCAGCCTCAAAGAGAAATTCTCCTACCCTTTTTTCTTGTAAATGTAATCAAAACTCAAGATGTGGGTTTTCTGCCTCGTAACTGAGCTTGCAGAGATTAGATAATGTCTTTATAAATTCCCTTACTGAGTGGACAAAACACACGTGCAGTACATGCAAGACTTGGTACCTGCTGGCTTTGGGGTTGGTGTCTGGGCAGCTGAAGGCTCTCACAGTGTGTTTGTACAGACACAGCTTTTGGATCATTACAGCTCCCAGAACACGGCCCTGCAAAGCTTGCTGGCCATAAGAGTTTAGCATAAACTGCACTTGAAATCTGAAGTAGCCTACAGTCAAATTGCACTCTCTGAAATGAGCAGCAACTGAGGTGAACAGTGTGGGAAATTTGGGTTTGTTTTTCATGTTAACATGAACTGTAGCTGTAGCTCACTGGCATTCAGAGAACTGAGAGTTTGTCTTTTCCAAAAATCTAAAGTTATTACAGAAAGCCCAGCTTTAAAAACGTATCACATGGAGGAATTTCATCATCAGAAATGGCATCACAGGTTTTCATTTAATACTGTCTATGATAACTGGTTTTAGTAGCTACTTGCATTTGTTTATTACATCACAGAGCGTGCCAGGGATAACACTGTGAAGCTTTAGAGGGAAGTTTCTGCTTGAATTCTCCCAAGTCCAGTCTCTCCCTCAGCTAACACCACTGTGAATTGTTTCCTGCTTGGGGAACGAACCACGCACCTCATACAAACCACTTGGACTTTTCTTAAAAACTGGGTTAGTCACAGTTGAGACATTTTCTAAGTGTGAGCAAAAAGACTGTTTTGTGCAACTGAGACATGTGCAGGCAGCACAGAGCTGTGTGAGGAGCAAGGTACCTGTAAATGATGCACGCCGTGTTCTGACAGGTGCTGCAGTTGTTGAGGTCCTGCCCAGTGTGGTAGAAGTTTCGCCTGGAACAGAGAGCAGTTCATGAGATGTGGAGTTACAGATAATAACAGAGCTTGGAATCTTTTATGAACAAAAGCCATTCTAGTCACCATTTCTGTCAGCCCTACTAAAAATTCTGGTGTCAAATTCTACGTTGGGAAGTTTCTTTAAAAGCACACAAACCCTATGAGCCTTGTCTTGCACCTTTGCCACCTCATGCTGTTAAGAGTTCTGGTTGCTGGTTCTTGCATGAACACTTGTTAGGAAAACACTCAGACATGAGACTGCTTCTAACAAACACACTTTCAAATATTTGAAAATTCATGCTGTTTGCTAAATCAGTCTGATCTCTGTCCTTATGCTTTCCAGTCTTCCCTTTCCATGTTTCCTAATTTGAGTATAACCAAGTCATATTTTTACTGCTCATAAGTTACAAATTTGTAGCATTGAGGAAACAAGAAAAGTGGGTTTTCATGCTTAACACTAACTAGAGCTGAAATGTTTTTATGATGGAGAGATGTGCATTAGAAACAGGTTGAGATTGGTGGCTCATTATGCCTGAAGAAAGTGTAACACTTATATTTAACAAGTTTTATTTCAATTAGGGGAGGTCAGCTGGTACCAAAATTATTTTCTGATTGTTTTGGAAAAAATGAGAGATCTTCATGTGCATTGTTGTGATATCAATACAAGTGCTTGGAACATTCAGCATTAGTATGAGATGAATCTGCCAAGGTGGATTAAAGCTTCTCATTGAATCTCAGAGTGACACTTCAAGATATTTGACAATTTTTTTTCTGTTCAGCCATGTGGTAACTGAACAGAAATGGATTATAAATATTGCTGGATAATCTGACCATGCTTCACTGCAAATTAGTCCTTGCTACGGGCAGATTTGCAAATGTAATTGAAATTTAGGTTCTCCCCTAGAGAACTGCATGCAGGGGAGAAGGAGTGGGTGGTTCTTTTCTGTCACTTCCTAAGGAACCACAGGTGCTGTCTGGATGGAGATTACAATAGAGCAGTGACTGCTCAAACTTGAGACAGACTTGGATCCCTGCCTCGAATCTTGTCTCTTACCTGAATTTTTGGGGGTTGGAGTGTTGGAAATGTTTTTTGCATTTTTGCTGTTAGTCTGTCTACATGGATTTTGTCTCTTGTGTTTAGGCTATTACAAATTTGGTGCTAGAAAATCATATGGAACAAGTCTCTGAGGGAGGGTAGCTGAATTGTATGGGTAAAATGTTATATAGAACAAGAATTTATGTGGGCACAGTGGAAGCTAATGAAAGTATTTTCATGCTAACAGCCAGAAGGACATTACCAGTTAAGGTTTCCAGATTAAAAAAAGGTAATATGTATGGAGTGAAACCACTTGCTAATTTGATTTATATTATTTTCAATTTTTAATGAGTGTAAATTCTTATTTTAATTGTAAGTTGTAAATTTATTCAACAGAAATACAAATTTCTTTTTTATAATACAAAGAACTTCAGTTCCAAGATAAAATATATGGAAAGAGAAAAAACTCTTCAAAATAGATTTTTTTTTTAATTTATTTTTTTTTCCTTCAGAAGCTGTAAGAATATTGGGGTATATAAAATCCTGGCCTCAGTTAGTTCTACCCTGAGAGTTCTGCCCACATGGGAACAAGGGCAAAGCCCTGATGCTGGGTGGTGTGAGCACAGCAGCATCGTGCTCTGGGCTCTTTCTTCAACTGCACCTACACAAAGCCCTCAGTGCAGCCTTCTTGTGGTATTTGCATTGTGGAAACGTGGAAAATTATCTGATTTGGTCATTATTGTAATGAGTAAGTACAACTGATACACATGATCTAATTTTTAAATTAAGAGTACAGTTTTGCATGCATAAGTGATTTACCTACATGCATGAGGTGCCTGTGCTAAAGATTAAATTTATGGTAGCATAGTCTCTTTTTCCCTTAAAAAATAAAATGGAACCTTTATTCCCTTGATTTATTTCTGAGCTTTTCAAAGATAAATTGTTTGAAGGATATGCTACTTAACAACAAAACAGAACTTTAAAGTGTGTCCTAGATGCAATTACTGTAAGAGCTGCTGTTGATAGTTTGGAAAGCTCTATTGGGATATACTGAAACCTGTTTTGAGCATAAAAAATATTTATAATTCTATTTTAACTTTCTCCAGTCTTTGGATGTTAGTTGCATTTATGGTATCATTATTATTAATAATGCATAATAATGCATGAATACTGCTTGCAGCCTTGGCACAGTCCCTGTGTCACCATACTGACAATAAATACAGGGTTTTTTTACATTACTATGGGGGTGCAGAAGGGAGCCACTCTGAAACCTGAGAGTCTGAAGTGAGTTCTTGCTGACAGCCTTCACCTGCTCTGTCCTTAGTTCTCAGTCTGGCACTCTGTGTGTATCTGACCTTGCCATGCTTTGCAAACCTTAAATCTAAATAAAAAAGCTGTTAAGCTGGGTCTTGCACTGGATTTAGTAAAGGCAGTGTCAGCTCAAGCCAAGCTATGAAGGGACTTGCTCCTCTGCTGAAGCCCAAATACCACAAAAAGGGTGTAAGACACATTTTTGCAAACTCATCTTTAAATATCAGAAGAGCCTTGTTTTTCAGTAGCAAAGGTTAAAAGAATGCTAATATATACTTTACACTTCTGATAAATTACTAATATTAAAAATGAACCATACCCTTCACTGAGGGCTCTGGATTTTTCCAGGTCTTGGATTACATTCAAAAGGACTTTAATCTTCTCCTGGTTCGACTGCAAGGATTCTTCTACAGACTGCAGCCTGCCTTGTAGGGCACAGAGTTCGCCATGTGCCAAGTGAATTTGATTTATTTCGTTAATCTCTTTGTTGCTTTGCGGGTTTATTTCATTCCTTGGCGGATAAGACTTTATGTGAAATCCTTCTAAACAGCTGTTGGACTGGGAAACATCCGACTGGGTGGAATTTTTCTCCATTTCAGCGTTACATGGCAGCCGTGGTTTTGGTGCGTTACTGCTGGCCAGTGCCACTGTTGGGTGATCGTCACTTGGTAACGTCACGCAGCTGGAATCTGGCTTGTGCTCTCCTGCCTGGTGACAGTCTCTGAGGAAACAAGGAGATGAGCTGTGATTTGATGGGGGTGACAGGGGAGTGCTTTCCTTACTGCTGGCATCTCTACTGGCTACAGGCGGCTCAGGGTCGCTTTTCTCCGTTTCACGAGCAGCAGAGTGGGGGTTCCATTCACTGCAGCTCACAGAATTGCTTAGGCAGGGCTCTGCTCTTTCAGAATCAGATGACAGTGTGCTGTTTTCATGACTTTCACTGCTGTTGATGACGGTAGAAGAGTGTAGTGAATGACTCGAAACTGTGGTCGTGGCTGGTGCATCCAGGGGAACGTTTCTGTCCTGTGGAAAACTCACATGAATGTATTCAGGCACCTGTGTAGACGCAGTTGTCTTGTCTGAGGCTGAGAAATCATCCGAGTACCTCGGTCCATTGCTTTGTGCTTTTGATGACCTTTGAGCCAAGCCCACCTCGCTATTCCTGCATCCATCCTCCAAGTGATTACTTATCCTCAGGTAGCAGAGCTCTGAGGACAGAATGTCTGCTTCACAAAGATTGCCATTTACCTGGATAGGGTTTGCAGGCTCCGCTGGCATTTCTGTCAGCGACTTGCTTACCGTCAGCTTTTTCCTTTTAAAGACCGGGAAGTGTTTCCTGAGGCTGGGAGAAGTTTGTATGGCAATATTCCGAAGCCCCTTCTGAGCCCTTGGAAAAGTTGGAGACTGAGCTAGCAAAAAATTGTGATCCCTAAATATTTCTGGTTTTCCAGTTGAGAATGCTGTGTCTTGGGCAGGATGAGCTTCCAGCTGTGCCTTGGTGCTGACACCGTCATCCTTGAACCGAACTTGCTGGGATTTGCTCCTGCGGTGCTGGGGGTGTCTCATAAAATCTGCCGAGTCCAGACTGTTCCTTTTCAGCAGCACTGGGCGCATTTTCATGTTTTGCTGGGCCATTGAGTCACAGTTTAAAGTTTGTAAGTAACGTGTTTCTCTGCGACCCATTTCATTTGACATTTGACCTGTATATTAATATTGTTCCTAAAATGCAAATTAACGCCTTACTCCTGGAGTTGATCATTCTCCTGGTTATTATGTATATTTTCAAAGGGCATGTTCTCTTTAGGGATCCTCTTCCAAATTTAATTGCAGATTAGACTAAAAACTAAGGTAAATTAAATATAAAATTTAAGGAAAGATTTCTTGTAGCTCGGGAGTGCAGGAATTTTTACCTGCAGCTAACATGGTCACTGTATTACAAAATTGCAACAGGCTGTTTCAGTTAACTAATTTAAGGGTAAGGTTGAGTCTATGGCTTTCCTGGTGCTCTTTTGACAGCAGCTCTCCATTAGGGATCCAGCTTTATTCACTCACATGTGTTTTATTTGCATGTAGTCAAAAGAAGCATAATAACTTCGGGGGAAATTTTCATTTTTGATGCATAGTTGCGCTGATGGAATATATCCATTAATACCAAACTGAATTGCTTTCTTTAGAGATAGTTTTTCTTCCTTAGCCATCTTTTTATTGTCCAATTGAAACTAATCTTCCCAAACAGGTAAGGAAAACGTCACCACTTATGACCAGGGCAGAACAGAGCATCCAGTGGGATTCCGTGAGGAAAGTTATTGATGTGTAGTTGTTACTGTTGTTCTTGCAGTGCTACACACTGGCAGATCATATCCAACACAAGGCAAATCATATCCAAAGGGTGCCTCAGTTCTGTGGACAGGACAGAGGTCCAGGCTGAATAACCACAAAAAGCAGAATAGCAGCTCCTGAAAATAAAAAGACCACAGTTGTAGCTGAGCAAACTGGCAAAAAGGTGTGATTTTCTTCTGCTGTCTCCTAGTAACTTCCCATCGTCATTGCTTCTGTAACTCTGGCAATGAGACACTTTAAAGAAACTGAAAAATGTTTTAGAATTTTGACGTGGCTTAAGTTTTTTTCATATGAAATGCAATGGTCAAAAAACCAATATATATATTTTTATGCAACAGATGCAAAATAATCATAAGCCTGAATCTGATTCCAAATGTAGATTTTAAAACTTAAGCAGTCAGATTTGAAAATGGCCATTAAATCCTGATATGAATGAAATATCCAAAACTGAACAATACAAATGTGAACTTTTAATTTGGAGGCAAGCTGAGGTTTGAACAAAACTCAGATTATTTTTTTTTTCTTTCTAAAGTTGTCGATTTTCAAGTGTTCAGATTTGAGTACAAGATTACAGCTAAATTCCCAGTACAATGGTAATTTACTATTAATCCTGTTCCCTGTTAATTCACTGGTCATTTCATTAGCCTTACTGCCTCCATTAGCTCAGAACCTTTTATTTAAGCATTGCACAGATTTTACCATAGTTAATTTACAAGAATTGAGGAGATGGGTGCAGTGGGAAAGATCTTGTTACAGAATACAGCAAACTGTTATGTAGCATCATGTAACATTTAGGTGCTATAATATAATTTAAGCAAAGTAATAATGAGATATTATTCTGTTACAAAGTTTTAGAAGAAAATGAGTGTTGGGTTATTTCACTGCAGAGAGAAGTGCCACATAAGATATTGAGGAAATAAATATGTGCATTAATACCAAATTTTACTTTTGTGATATGCATGAAGTCATGGAAATCTCTGTGCTGATTGTGCACTGGAAACAGGAATCACAGTAAACAAGTCCAACACTTTCTGCAAACAACATTCCAGTGCCAAGTTCTGGGTTCTCATTTCATCCACTAATTACCAGAGACTTTTTACGGTTCTGTTTGAGAATTTATCCAAATATTGCAGTAGCATTCTCCCCATCACAGCTGCTGTGCTCCAGGCAGATGGACTACTTTAAAAGTTATACTTTCCCAATTAAATTCCGAAAGAAGCTTTAGAAAGCTAATCCTTTGTGTTTTAAATAAAAGTAAAAAGCCCTTAAGGGTTTTATGAGAGCTCTCTCCTTTGCCTGTTGAGGCATTTGAGCTACATTCCTGCATTCTTAATTTGAAAACTGCTATTTTAACTCTGTTGATTTTTAGGTACCTTCTCATCCAATACTCTGGGTTTACTATGAATTGTAATGAACATTTTGGTGCTGTTGTTTATATTAAATCAAGCTGAAAGAAAAAAAAATATATAGCTAGGAATGTTCAAATATTTGGATTTAAAACCCAGACTGGTGAATTTCAATGAGTTATAGGTGTCTGTGCTTGAGTTAACAACTCAGTACAACATTGCCAATTACTAAGTTTAAATAACATTTTCACTTGCCCAGCATCTAATTCTTCATAGTTTCCTTACACAGCAATTTAAAGTCCTTGTTTTGCTTATTATTTGACATCGACTGAAGCAGGAAAAATCCTAAGGATCCATTTCATAGAAATGCCTTCAAATTATTAATTTCTTTCACTCATAAAGAAAAGATCAAGCCAGTTTTAAATTAATGTCTTGTAGTAACAGTTTTAGTAGAAGAAGTTTACTGGGGTTTAATGTTCCATGGCTCCATGACCTCCCATCCATCTCTGCAGCCTCTTCCTGCCCATCCCATCCCTGGGCACTGCCCACATTGCCTTGTGCTTGGTGCCCTGCTCCATGAACTCCAGGGCTTTGTTCCATTCTCTCCCTGCCCTGTTGGATAAGTGCCCTGTGAGGTGGTGGTACATGCTGATTCATGTTATTTTTTAATGGTGCACATTTCATGCTCCTCTTTTCAATGTATTGAGTAATTTGACTGATGTTGTATTTTTTTTTTCTTTTTGGCTTGGCTGATAGTGTTAAAGAAAATCTTGATTTTTAACATGTCTACGTGCTTTGCACACACAGTTCTTAGTGGTGGCAGTTGCTCTTCAGTGTAAACTTATCCTTGCTCCATTGAAATTGCATCCCAGGGTGTAGCAAGTGAACCCCCTGGAAAACACTCAGGTGCAAAGCTTCCCCCTCAAACAGCAATAGAACTGCTTTTCCAATCTGGGGATTGTGGGTTTGACTTCTTAGAAATGCACACACAGCTTAGTCAGACTGCCAGGCAGAGGAAGTTTGACAACATAGACATTTTTTTATATCATTTTTCTTCCATCTTTCCTGCCTCTGCCTTCCCAATTTCTTCAAGAGAGTCAAACATATTTTTTTTGGTTCATACTTCAGTTTAATGGCTGAAGCTATGGGTAGAGAAGTGCAGATGGAAAGGATAAATGGAGATTACAGGGAATTCCATGGAGTGGATAACCATGCAGCAACAGACACTGGGGATTTTGGATCAGTGCAAATGTGTGAGTGGTGGTTCTGGGCGTTTTCTACAGTTTGTGGCAAAATTTACTTAATTCCCATGGTTTTCAAACCCTTTCAGTTGCAGTTGGACACCTCAACTTTTCATTTCACAAGTTTGTTCAAAAAATAAATGTTTTTCCCATAGTGAAAGTGTGACATGTATTTTAGAATTTTGTTTTTCCCTTATGCATGTTTTAAAAACAATATTTCTTGAAACTAAATGTTTGGACAGAACCTTTTCAATAAAGAAAGGAACAAGGTAAAAGTTTGTGGGGGCTTTCAACAGGAAGATGATTAATGGAATTTTTCTTCCACTTTTGAGCATCCACACTTTAAATTTCCTGACTCACTCTATGGCAGTGGGTTGGAACAAGGTGATCTTTAAGGTCCCATCCAACATAAACTGCTCTGATTCTGTGATAGGTGACAGCTGTAATAACTGTAAGATAATGTATTCAGACTCAGCAGTTTTCTGTCATGTCTGATTTGTGGTTTGTCCTGTAGAATACAGATTTTTTTATGGTGCGCGTTTGATGGACATTTTCAGCTTAGAGAGGCAGCTTGCTGTATTTAATTATGGTTTGTATTTGATAATAAGCTGTTTTCTAGGTGGGAGGTTCTCAGGTTCTAAGAAATTTGTGTGACTCTCACTTTCCCTTCATGTTGCAAATCTTTCCAGGGTTCCTAAACTATTGCTGGGATCAGAGGCTGCATGTGGGGGCTGCTGTGAACCTTGTGCCTGTCAGTGGCTGCAAACAGCCTGGCCTCTGCAGAGCTTTCCTCCTCTGCAGGTTCATTTTTCAAAACAAAACATTAATATCTGAAATGCACCTTTTTCACTTAACAAGCCCAAATTAAGGTTTTAAGTGTGTTGGTTTGGATGTTGCTTTTGTTTCACTTCATTTTCTGTCTCCACCAGAAACTTCAGCAATAGCTGTTGGCCAAGCTGCTTAATTTAGTCATAGCTCTTTGCATAAAAGTCATGTTGGGTTTTTTTTTCCTCAAAATAATGAGAGATGTTGAGGATAAGTTTAGATATGCTTCTGAAATCCCTGGAGACTGCAGTGAAACATACATCACCAGCTAGCACGGAGAGCTAGAGATGGATTTGAAACCATTGGAATTGGATGATGCTGAAAATTACCTCTTTTTCCTGTCCTTCCTTCTTGCAGAGGGAAATGGATGGAAATGTACTCAGAGTTCCAGAGGAACTGCATGCAAGGAGGCCTCTGAAGGGAATGTTTTCAGATGAAAATGGGTGAAGATGTAGAGCCTATAAAGCAGAAACAGTCCCCCAGAAGCGCAAATTTGCAACTTATTGTGATACACAGGAAAAGCTGGCAGGGAACAGGAAAGATGAAACTGCTGAGATTTTTAAATGGCCTCTGTGTACAGGGGCTTGTTGTTGATCACAACAAGGAGTCTCATTGCTTTGGGTCCCACAGAATAAAGCACAAAGTTATTTATGAAAGTAAATGTGTTTATTATAAGAGATGGAGTAATTTGTGGAATATAGTTTTGTACCTGGAGTTTTCTCCAGTGCACAGCAGTGTAACATTCTTCTATTTCTTACTCTAATTGGGCAGCACAGAGAATATCTGATTCTGTTGGTGTGCACGGCCCCAGAGGAGCTCTCTGAATGTTCCTGGATGTGCTCAGTTTTCCCCTGCAGCAGTGGTTTGGTAATGCTGAAGGAACTTTGCTTGAGCAAAAAGAACTGAAGAAGGCAAATCCTGTTGGTGGGTTTTGTAAGTCCCTTCCAGGTGGGATCGAGGTGACTGGAGAAGAGGATCTAACAGAGATGAGGAATACAGGGTAGGATGGAAGCTCCTGTCCTCAGAAAGGGAACATTTCAGTGAAGGAAGAGATTACAGGATTTTGTCTTGGATTAATTTTACAGCAAGATCTGAAAATTACTTCAGGTTGGTGAGACTGGGTAGAGAAGATGCTGTGATATTTACTGCAGCAGAGAATGGATTTAACTCAGCAAGTTTTAGGGATGAAAATTCAGTATGGTTTGCCTATAATTTGATTGAGATGATGCAATGCCATTCCACATGAAGTGCTGAAGATGCACTAAGAGATAAAACCATGATGATCTTGTTTCTGAAATAACTTTCAGAACCATGATACTTGAAATTCCTTTATTCTTCTTTAACAAAAACAGAAGTTCTTTTCCTTTGAAAAGATGATAGATTTCATTTGCTCTGTCAGAAAAAAAAAATCTTCATGGATTAGAAAACATTTTTATCTCAGTATTTCTTCTAGAGCATATGCTGGAAATTGTTCATGCAAGGTTTAGTGTCAGGAGGTAAGATACAACTGCTTATTCACTTAAGAGAGAAGCATTTCAGTCACATATTTATATACAGAAACAAGTTGGATTTTTTTTCAGTGTTAGTTTGCAAAGATGAGTGTACTTAAAACTGAGAAATTTCTCTTGAAGAACTGCTTGAATGCCTACAGGGAGAGGGAAGTTATCCAATGTGACAGGCTGTGAGCTGGAAAGTGTCCAAAGA